GTAATTCCGACCAATTTTACTAAATGTAAATGCAAACAAAGAATATGAATTTACAAAAGGAAGTGAAACATGAATTTTTTATTTCTAACTATGCAGTAATATGAAGTTTGGAAAAATGAACCGTTTAATTGGAGAGACATTTCCATTTTATTACTGTGTGGTTTGAACACACTGGCTGTGATTTTTTCAACATCGGTGCAGTTCACTTTATTAAGGTCACTTTTTAAAGTATTAGCAAAGTGAACAAATGCTTTGAAGTTTAGCACCTGATATTAATGTTAAATCACGGATTGTATAATAGACAGGCTGTTGAAATTAGGAGTTACAAATACTACTGCTAAATATTTTTAATTGCTTTTAATTATCTGTTTTAAATTATTTCACGAATTAGCAATTCTTTTTATTATTTGTTTCCGCATTTAAGAAGCATATATATTTTGCAAGTGCAACAATTCTAGTGCAAGAAGTAGTTAACCCAATTTCGTTGAATCTGCTGAAGAGATGAATAATACTTTTCACACAGTTGTGTAGAACATAGTTTTATAGTACCAGAAATAATGATACTAACTTAAACGCTGTCAAAATGAAAACATCTTAAAATGAAATTCTTGATAAAAAGCAGAAAGAAAAATGATGCCAGGAAATTGAAATTTTATCAAATTTTGATAGATTTAATTTTCTAAAGAACGGAGAAAAGGAAAATATTTTGATGAGCAGTAAAAGCATATTCAAAAATAGCTAAAAGTCTCAATATCTTTTCAAAGAAAATTGCTAATATTTATTCATCTCCTTCCAACATATCCCAAGAAATACTGTTGCACTAAGTTACGATCTGTCGCACAAAAAAAGAAATTAATTAGAGCGAATAGAATAATCAGTAAAATATCCAGATTATAGATCTCTCTAACGTATTTAAGCAAATCTGGAAACACAAATGTCATCTTTAAGTTTTCGAGAATATGTAATTATTATTTCGAAGAATTGAAGAAAAAAGAGTTATATATAGTTAGATGAAAGCAATTTCAGTATTTAGTGTCTTAATTTAAATGCGTAGTTTATTTAAAGGAATTTAACAATCATTTAATAATAGCATTAAAATATTGCTGCATGTGTTTGATATCCATCAGTTCCTAGGATTAGTGAAATTGATTGATATTTTGAATCAATTTCTCTCTTATGTATACCTGTCATCAGACTGATTAAGACTGATAATAAGTATACATGTGAAAGAAATTGGTTCAAAACATAGATTATGATGTTGAATCTGTTGTTACCTCTATTAAATTTTAAATATGGATATGATAATCATTATTGGCAAAGCAATCGCAGTCAGTGATTTTTCATGACGTGAAAGAAATTTGCATATCATATTAGATTTGGCGAAGTCTGTTAGAGTTAGCAAACTAAAAAACTTTTGCTCTACTTTGCAGGCAGAGTCAAAAAAAGAATATAATTATGGCTATTTTTATTCTATTGCCATGGTAAAGAACAAGCGATGTTTAGAAATGCAATATATCCAAGATTTCAATAGTTTAGCCAGATTATTATCATTATTTTTTGTAAAACTTAAGTTATAAGAATTATGCAGTTATTTTTGGATTTCAGATAAACAATATAAGTTGCTTAATAAAGTTTAACATATAAAAATTGTTTCTACTTATATACGTATCCTAGCACATCTGATCCTATTTGATTGTTGCTTCCGTTGACAGTTTGACAGTTTGACAGTTTGAATTCTGGTTTCAAAATACTTTTTTTTGCAATATAAAGGATTTTTTTAAATTTTGTTTTGTATACATTAATTATCTAATTTCTAAACAATTTTTTTGCGACTTTTTTTGTTGTACATAACATATTTCTTGTAATTCACTTGGATTACAGTAATAAGAAATATGTAATGTATATTTTAGAAATCAAACAGTATATGATGCATCTGTGTTGAAGTTCTAAATCCTATAAACTGGTTTTTTTTTTCATTTTTCCCTTCAGAATTATTTCTAAAATCACTATAAATCAAGCATTGAGTTCAATTTCTTAACTGCTATATACATATTATATATATTGCAAACAGTACAACTGTAAGTAGAAAAACAATTTTTAGTGAATGTGTTTTGTTGCTCCATGACTGTTTGGATGAAATCAATTGTTAAGAATTATTGCTCATAAGAATAAAGTTTAGAAAAATAAAAACGAATTAGTTATACCATTGATTATAATTTTACTACATCGTTTTCATCACATTTTGGTTTTCAGTGCAGATCTCTTAGACGCTGTTGTTGTATGGTTCAGCATTAAACATTTTCTTATGAGTATCAATCATTAATTATCCTTCTTATGTACATTCACAATGAAAAATAATCTCTTTGCTAATCTCTTTTTTCTGATTACTAATTAGTGTTTATTAATTAGCGCTTCCATAATTTGCTTCAAGTTATTTAAATTATTTTCTCTTTTTGTCTTGATTTTTGCTTTAGTCAGTAGGGATTTTCTACTCTTTTAATTTTAACAATTAAATTAATAATCATGTAATTATGTTAGCAGTGTTTTAATAATTTTGCTTTGTTAAAGTAGAATGAGAATTTAAAAATAAAAACGTTTCAATAATCCTTGCATAGATTAAGCTGAAACATCCATTCTTTAATTACAAAGTCAGGAGATTTTCTTTTGCATTTTATGCATTTAAAATATTCATGTTATATACAAAAAGTAATTTTGCGTTGATTTGAAAAATTTTTCAAATATTAAAAAGTTGATTAAAAAATTCTTTAAACATTAAAAACATATTAAATCATCATTTCAATCTTCTTTTCATTTTTACATCGGCATCAAATATTAGAATTATTGATTTGATTATTAAAAGGTAATCATTAAAGAATGTAGTCACACATCCAATCGAAAATGTGCTTTGACGATTTCGGGCCATTTTATTCAATTTCATAACAAACCATTGGTATGGTGCAGCCGATACGATTATTCTGGCGGGTCTTCTTTCTCTCTTCCTTTTCCTTCTCTTCCAGTTCTCTGATACCTCCACCATTACATTTGTCTTTTCGGTACACAAATTAATATCAATTACAAGGAAAGAATTTTTTCTCAACCTCGATTTTAAATGGCATTTTCCTCTCCTTTTCAAATGACAATCCTCTTTATATCATTCATGCAAAATACGTTTCTTACAGTGATTATATGTCAACAATTTCTTTTGGAATGCTCAAAATTTGAATTTCTGCATGTTTAATTGTCAAATTCCCACAAAATTTTGAAGAATTATAACTCACATCTCTGTTATACAAATTGAAATTATTTGGTGTTAATTTAATTTTAGAGAGTACGACAATGCAGTTGCGCTCTTTCCTACAGCAGTTTGATCCTTTGCTGTACAATTATTCAAAAGATGAACTTACAGTAAGATTGCATGAAGGAATTATATGGCAAACAAAGTTATTACTAATCCAGAAAATACATCATTACGTTTCGTTGTAAATATGCGTGCAAAATAATATTAAATTGTTCGGAATTTCGTTGATAGAGAATGATGTAACATTATCGTTAATGCACAGAATCCGTGAATTACTCAAAAACTGAAAGTTAAAGTATGACTTGTAACGTAACAACAAATGTTACAGCTCTTCTGTAATTTATTTATTGCATTATAGTAAATTATGAAATAATGTTTATTAATAATTTCTATCCATTTAATTATAGTTCAGAGTGATGTAGTTTCGAAATTCTTTATCACTAAATGCAAATCTCATACAAGATAAGGCAAAATGTTCAAATTTTATTTGAGATATTTCATATACCAAAGTGTTAGAATATTCATTTTGCTTAAAAAAAATATATTTTAGCAAAAAATTTTATGTATTTGAAAGAACATCCGTTTTACCAAATTACTAATCAATAAAAGTTTTAGTCACGCTGGTAATTTGTATTTATTACTTTATAATTTGAAGTAGATTTTGTCATCATTTATTTATGTTAATTCTTATTTTTAGCCTAGTCTAGTTTTTATAGTAATTAAGTTACAATGCTTTTGCATCAGTAATTCGTTGGGCTGAATGTGTTTTATAACTTTAACCTAATTAATATCTATATTTTGTCGTTACGTATAATCTTCGATATTTGTCGGAATCGGAGGTGATTCACATTTTCTACTTTCACTACTAGTACTATGGGATAGTTGATTTCCCGAAATTTTGTTATGGTTCTTTTTATTCTGAAATTTTGGGAATCAATTTTTGTCAAGTAACTTATAAAGTAGATGAGGTTATCTTTCAGATACTTTCTCATCCTTTTTTTATCACAACAGTTGTTGTTTAGAAACTGTCCTTATCATTTCCGGTCCATTTGCTATTATTATCTTTAATTGTTTTAAAGAGAATTTGCAGCGCTTTAATTACAAAAAATCCTACACCTTCTTATAAAGTCTGACTAGACTTATGCTCTTAATTCCTTCATTTTTAGGTTACTTTTTCCTTCTCTTACTTAATGAAATGTCCAAATGCTTACTTATTTTCCTGTTTTGATTTAATTAACATGTTTAAATTTTCTGAATAAAGATTTATGCAAGCCTTATTTTTCTCGAGATTAGAAATAGTTTCAGTAACTTATTTTCGGCAAAATTATAAGCTGATTTCATTACTTTCAAACAAATGTTTTGAATGAAAGAGTTCTTTTCTCTAATTATTCTATAATTTCTTCCTCTTTTATTTTCATCAACTGCTGATTGGCAAGTTTATTAAGTTTAACTACAATCTTCAAAGTATGTGCGCATTTCATAGTTTTTATATCCGATCTGTAAATTCATTCAATGTTGCAGAACTGGCAATATTATTGTGGAAGGGTGCGTAGGTATCAGGCTGAATAATACATATTAGTTATGACATCATCTTCAAACGTGTTCGGCGAGAAGGCTTCAATTTTCGTTTTTGTTATTGTAACATTGATCGGTTTGTCACTAAGCATTAGTGCTATATTGCTATCGTCATGGCAGGTACTAATTTAAAAAGCAAATAATTTAGAGCAACAGAATTGAAGATCGACTACCTTTTGGGAAAGATGATAAGAACTTGAATGTAGATTTCATTTCTTAATTTTAATATTGTTATTATATAAAAAATTAGTTGAAATATATTTTATTGGGAACTATGATATTGTGATAAATACTTGCTTAAAATTTGCTTTCAGGTTAATTTGTTTTAGGATCTTCTTGCCGTTCTTTGATATTATTATCTTGTTATTTACTCTGTCATGAACTTAGGTAGTGAATTTACGAGAATATAATTCGATTCACGAACATGGTCTGTGGTTAGATTGTAGAAGGCACAGCAGAGATGGCAATGCTAACGTACTTCTCAGAAGGTCTTATTGTGTTTTTATCATTATCTTTTTTCTAAACAAAAATTTAAGTCGAACTTAGTCTAAGTTTTTTGCTCTCTAAGTTTGGTTATTTTTGTAATTTTAATTAAAAGAAAGAAATTACTAAACTGTCATAATTTTTAGGTACACAACAAATACAGAACCTCTGAACTGTGTTTATAAATTTGATTACGACAAATATTCGGGCACTTTTGACTTAGAAGATGATAATAGCCCTGTTGGAGAAGTAAACAGACATAAATTTTATGGTTGGTCATTATGTTTTTTTCCCTTCCTAACTAATTACGAAAATTTCCAAATGGAATCCGAAATTTTCAAAGTTTTCTCAAAAACCCATGCAAATGCCAGAACTGAGATTTGGACTGGGTAAGAAAGAATCCAAATCTACAAATTTAAGTAACGTTTTCGGTAACTTCAATTAAACAGTTATAAATTCAAAAAACGAAATTGAAACATAATGTGATATCATGTGTTTTTGAATAGTTCTGTTGAGAATTTAGAGGAATTTGAAAAGTACTGCAAAGTCTTTCAAGTTGAAGTTTTTCTTTGTTTTCTTATTATAAATGATTATTTGCTACAGGTTGGCATATAGCAACGCTAATTTTGTTAGCGTTAGCGCTATTAACAGCGTTTCTATCCATATGTCTAGGTCTGTCTGCGTGTTGTTACAGTTCACTAGCGTTGGTCGTCACAGGTGTAGCTCTGATGACAAGTACGTTAAACTAGCTATATATTATTTGTAATTCTTTTGTAATAAAATCTTATAATATTTTAAGATTTGATTCTTTTCACAAAGGGAATGAAAAACATTTTTTTCAGCATTTTTGTCCGTAATAGCGGAAGGCCTATTTTTTTTCTATTCACACCGTGCCGACGTCCGCTTTATCAAGGGTATTGTCAGCACTTATGAGGTTTGGAATACTTTTTCACATAGCAATCCTAGTGATTTTAATATTTGTTATTGTTGGAGGCTCTCTTCAACAATATGTTTCATTTGTTGAGTTCAGCCGGTCGTAATCGATTATGTGATCTTAGGGAAAAACTCGGATATACACTTGTATCATTGTATCATTGCATCATCATTTAGCATAAATAGCATTGCTTTCAGCAACGAGTTGGCTTGGCATTTTTTCTACAGATGGCTGCATGTGCTTGCCATTTTATTGCATTTCTGGTTTCATTACTATTTGTATATTTTGCTTGGACTGGTAAAAATGATGCCAGTGATCGATATAGTTTTAATCGAGGATCAAAATCAAATGTGGCAAGTATGGGAAGGTCTGCATCTCAAAACATTTCTCATACTGTTTTTTGAGCACAATGTCATATCTTTTTAGGTATTGTTTATGATACAGTATGAATATTCTCCTGTAACTTGTCTGTTAACCATTCGATGCTAAGATCTAATTTGTAAGATAAAGAAGTGTTTTCCTCATTGAAAAGTTCAAAAAGCCGATTTCCACACAATTTTTTGTTTAAAAACATTTACGAATTATTTTTCCGAAAGATGCCGCATTTATTTAGTTTGTAGTAGTTGCAAAATATTGTCTACTGCAGGCTTCATTTAAATTGCATCATTGCTTGTTTGCAGGTCATTGGAATTTGAACCACAAATGATATATCAGCAAAATGTGGCACCCACTGGAATTCGTCCACCTCACTATGTGAAACATCAAGAACAGTACGATAAAAATATTGCTGGAAGTACACCTGAGTTAGGAACAAGACAATTATCTGCTGAATTCTTTGGACAAAGAGTAAGACGAAAAAGTGAAACTTGTGTTTAATTTTTAATCCGCTCCTTTGTAAAAATTTTGCATACATCTTGCATAAACTGATTTGCTGAAAATGTAATTTGTTTAATTAAATTTCAACTTGGAGTTCCAAATTTACAACTTCAGCAATTTGTTCAAAATATTCCGCTTGAAGGACGAAAAAGAAGGGTAGAAAAATAATTGTGGTAATTAATTTTTTCCATGCATTTTTCTTCATGTAAAATTCGTTGCGTTGTATTCTTGTTCAGATTGCTCAATAGATTTTAGCAAGGATATGAATTAGCCATTTTTTATATGCGACAATTTTGTAAATCTTTTGCAAATTTATAAATTTCCACAGTGTTTTAATTCCTGTTCTCCAGTTTAATATACGATTTTTGATAAGTCAGTGCTTCTAGCCATGACTTTATAGATCTGCTAATGTTACTTGTGCTAATTGTAAGTTTATTTAAGTAGATGAATAATTATAACTCTAATCTATCTGCAATAAAATTCATTCCCGCTGATGCCTCGAATTTGATATTATTTCAATGAACTTTGCAATTTACATTTCATTATCAGTCTGCATTTTCTTGTGGTCCCTTTTTTCGATGTTTTAAGTTTTATTTAGGAAGCCATTGACTAAGAGCTGCCCGATTTGTTGAAATTTCCTAGGACTTTTTTTAAATGGATTTGTCAAAAAATGTTATAGTTGGTGTTATCAAAGTAGGATTTGTATGATAACTTATATTACCTCGCTTTTCATAACTTTTTATAAGTGTTTCATAATGGCTTTATGTATCATTTAACATCTCTATTTATGTTTCCAGTTACATCACCTATTCAACTTTCTGCATTTAGATCATTAACATTATTGTCATAATTCGACGGTCAGTTAATTCATTCATCTTTAACTTGTCAGTTTAATTCTGTTAGCTTTTATGTTTCACTTGGAAAAGTTATGATGATTCCAAAAAAATATTCATGGAAACATGCTGTGAATTTATTTTTTTGACTAATTAAAAAAACAATTGCTATTTTTATATTGTTTTGGTATTTATCATATTATAATTGCATCATAATAATTCAATATAAGGAATTCACAAATAATTTTGTTAAAAAACTACCAGTTTCGAAAAAGAATACATGAAATGTTTGATTTTGATCCATTTTCAGCAGTAAAATTGATAGTTTTCCAAACAAAATTTAAGTTGTTAGCTTCTCAAAACTCTTTTCAATCTTTAAAAATTTATCCACTTTTAATTTTAAAAACTACATGTGCAATTATAATGATGGTAAATGCACTGAGTAACCGAGTGTGCTACTGAGCATGATGCTTCTGAACAGGATTTCATTGCATTATTTTTGGTTTATTCGTAACCTCTTCTGACATTCGCTTAATGATTAATTTTGTGACTTAAACTGATCTGTTTTCTTGTCAATGACTTGAAGTGTGCTTTTAAGGCGGTCAATAAAAGTTCATATTAAATTCGATTGAGTGAGGGATGTTTGTAAGCAATGCGCACCTTAATACTGCATGTATTTGAAATAATAATGCTGGCAAATAGGTATTCCATTAGTGGTTTTTATCGCAGACATTTGTTTTTTTAGAAAATGACAGCAATGTCAACTGATTATGATCGGAATGTATGGTAATTGGAACTAATTAGTAGTATTCTAAATATTGCTATGATTTTTGATTGAATTAACTAAGGAATTTATCGGCACATCGATTAATGTTTTTTGCAAAGAAAATATGTTTGACTGTGTATGGTTTTACAAATTAATTAATATTTATACATATTAGTTTCATTAATATTTTTTGCCTTCCAAATCCATGCTTCAGGTCAGTTTTTGTTTTGTTGTTTAGAAATTACGAGTCAAAATGGCCTGTTAATAAATGTTTTCCTATTTTATTGTACTCACTTTCTGACAGTTACCAAAATTCTCCATCAACAACTATGAATAAAGCTCGATGAAGAATAATAATTCATTGCTAAGCTTTATTTCATGTTTCATTAAGCAATGCTATGTTTTCTAGAAATCTATTGCTTCCGCGTGCCCACTACATGGTCAGATGGATTCACAGAAGTGTTTTTTTAGAGAAAGAAAGTCCATCACAACTGCCTAATTGCCTAAATTGCTGAATTTATCACTTTTAACATATAGATAATATTTAATTTTCATTGAGTATAAATTTTCCAAAAAAAGTCCAAATGATGATTGGAAAAGATGATGATACGATCTGCGATAGGATGACCTTCATCATCAACGTAATTGAGACTAGTTTGAAAAGCATCAATTGGCTATGTCGGCATTTTTTTCGAGGATAGACATTTGTCACATAATACCATCTTTGTAGTTTGCTTTATTTCACTATCTGTGGAATCTTTTTTTTTCAGCCCGTATCCTTATAGTTTATATATTGATATAACTGGAAGAGGGATGTTGAATGGATTTAACTTTTTCATTTCTGCTTTATATAAACCACAAAACTTTTCCCTCCATCTTTAAATATATGAAATGATGAATGATATCTTGAAAAGTTAAGGTATTCCAATTTAAAATGCCAGATGGTCGCCACTACGAAACACTACCAGTTTCATAGATAATTTGATCCAAGGACAACAATAGTCGTTTTGATCGCTGAGATGCATATGGGCTGTAAGATGTGATTTTTGATTTGTTCAGATTCATCGTTGTTCCTATCATGTTTGCAAGTCCTTGAATGACCAAAAATGTGGATGCAAACATGCACATACACACATGCATACACATATGAACGCACCTAGCTGGACATAGGTCAGACCTGCACAGCGAGCTGAGCGATCGATTTCAGTTGCGATAACAGGAACCATCATCCCATTGAGAGTGTGGATACCAATCATCACTATGATTATTTCAATTCGTTGTTCGCTCGAAGAAGGGATGCAACTGCCCTAATCAAAATTCTTTCATTAATTACGCATTATGAATGAGTTTTTTTCTTAGAACAATTTTTAAAGTAATCAGTTCAATTTTCGTTTTGCTAAAGGATGATATTATGACTTGTAAGTATTTTTGAAACATAATGTATTTTTCAAACACATCACTGATTTCGACCTTTCTAAAATTTTTTTAAATTATGGTCTATTTACTGCGCTCACAATCTCACATTTTCCATTATTTTGCAATTTACCGATTTCATTGGAAGGTCATTGTTTTGAATTAGCGATTCGAATTTTATCAAACAAACATCAATTTAACTGTCTGCTGCTTGATGTAAATGAATGAATGCTGTAATAATAAGGATTTCCAGTGAAGGTATCACATTTTATAAAAATTTAAACGATTATTTTATGAGGAAGCTGACCCAATTCCCTGACAAAATTACAACTTGAAATTTTAGTTTTTTTGTTGCAAAAAATCAGTGATGTTGATATATAAGTGTTTATTTAAATTGAAGAAATAATATCTTTTGCTGCATGTTTAGAAAAGGTTACATCGCATAACTCATCGCCAAATAATTTCGAAGTTCTGTTCACCTTTTTCCATAAGTTTCAGAAGTTGGATACAGTTGCTTTACTACTGGCATTCTTATTTCATGTTTTCTTCTTATCCATTTCACTGTTTGTTTCTTTTTACCTATTCTATTATTTTAATTCGTGAATAAGATCAGTGAATGCCATTACCGATTTTCATTTTAACACACTTTTTGAGATGTTTTTAAAAATGGTTATTTGTTTGTTCTTGTACTTGCTATCATAAATGCATTGATTTAAATCACATCAGAATGATCCTTAAACTCGAAGACTTAATTTTCTCTTGGAACTACAGCATTCTACAAAATTATCTCTTCTCAATCCTTATCATTAATTCAGATAATGGAAGAAACAGTTTTGCTCTCTGAACCTCACTGAATATATTTTCCATAGTTGATAAGATAATTATCAATTGTAGTTTGTGTTTGAATGCAAAAGAAGGAAGCGATGAGGTAGCAAATATTCAATACACAGTCAATGAGTACTACTGCAGAAAGTCAAAACAAGTGTGGCCAGAAAACAGCTTTATCTCTATTTTTCTTATTTGAATTGATTGCTTATGTTCTGGGTTGCGTTGCTCTGATAAGCCCAAGCTGGCAGTATGTATATCTTGAAGTAAGTATCTCAATTCAATTAGATTTTTTTTTCAAATTTCAATAACACATTACAATTTCAATTTAATTATATTTCTTTAAATTCTAATTCTTGTTAAATTTCTTTTTCTATCTTACTATCTTTCCCTCCGTACCATTCCTACTTTATGCTTATTGTTAAATGAATCTCCATTACTACCAGCAATGCTACAAATTGTAGAATGGACGTACAGAGCATCACCACGGATTATGGCTTGATTGTAAACGCGATTATTCTCATGATTATGGTCGAAGTCGTGAATATTACGAGACTTTGTACAGGTTCGTGTAATTCGTTTCTGTTAAAGGCGGAAATTAAAAACGCAATCATATTTTTCCTTTACATTTGTGCCATTTTTTCTTTATATTTGTGTTGAAGCAAAGGATAAAGAAACTCTTCTACATATGACGAAATTTAGCACCAGTTTTTGCTCTATTCGAATTTCGATTCATTTTGACCCATATCGAAATTATAGACTTGATAAACAACAGTCACCATTTGATCAATTTTTTCTTACATCATTGCTTTGTGTATACAAATTCGATTACTACATTGATACTGAAGATCTCTATGATCATAATCATGATGAGAATCGTCTCCAAGATGACGCCAACCAGCATTTATTGTTAGGTCTGTTAAAATTTCCTAATACATTCTAAATTTTAAAAATATGTCCATCCGTCTTCTCTATCATTTATATAAAGTAAAATTTTAGTTTGTTTCAGGTTGGAAGGCAGCATCATTAGCTGCTCTTGGATTTGCAGCATTAACAGCAAGTGCAGCATTGCTGCTTTCAGTTTGCGCTTTTTGTCATCGTACCCTTATTTGTGCTGCTGCTGTTCTTGTTACTGTTGCTGGTCCGTTATATACTCTTAAAATCACTTTAAGACTGATTTTTTTCAAATCGTTTTCTTTCAGCTTTTAGCAGTATTGGAAGTTATGAAGAATTGTTGCAAAAAAATATCATTTGCAGTTATGGTACTAACAGAGTGTGAATAATAAATTTCGCTCTGAATAAAAAAAAATCTGTGCTCTTGAATAATAACTCATTCTTATAGCCCTATTGTCTTCTGTGGGCTTATTGATATTTTACATTTGGGCCAATTATCAGGACAACAATATTATTAAAGAAGAAGATGGCATTTATCAGGTTCCTTTAATTATAAATTTTCCCAATGTCAGACGAATTAATCAAGGATTATAATATTGATATTTACCACATTGTGGGAGTCACGAGAGTGTGTGAATAGCACAGTGGTATCGCTATTTGTTAATACTCAAGAACTTATGAGTACAATAACTCAGTGATGAGTTGAACCATTTAATGATGTAAATTTCTTTCCCCGACAGAATGAATTCTCAATCTAATACTGTTGAGTCTCCGTTCTGAAAATGGTCACATGCTACTCGAAAAACATTGGTAGTGACTGCAAGGTTATGTTAGCATGCTTCATTTTCGTTTACTGACTTGAAAAGTTTTCAAATTTTTGGGACTTTAAATAGCAACTAGAACATGATGTGCAGCAAAATACATAAACTTGTCTCCAGAATTTTAAATGTTTTTGCAAAATTCACTAAACTTTGTTCTCAATTTTAGCAGTATTTTGGATGGGCGCTATATGTACAAATAGCAGGGACGGCGATGCAATTTTTTGCATCTTTCGTAGGTTGCGCTGTTACCTCAATGGCATTCAGGAAAAGTCGCACTAAATTGGTTAAGATCGAGGTTTCTCGTATTAATTTGTGCTTATTATCTGATGCAATTTATTTGCATGTTACAAATAAAGAATCGTTTAACTTTCAGGTGGTTGATAGAGATAATTCAACCTTACTTGATGGAACAGTTTCGCCTCCGTTCAAGCGTTCGTTTTCAGCAGTTTACAAACTGGACTCAGCTGATCTCCAGAAATGGGAAAAGGATTACACAAATATTGTACAGTCAAGCAGTGTCACCAAACAGGTAATTTTTTTTAAGTATATTGAAGAATTATTCTGGCATGCATATCCTACGTAGGCAATTGACGAGCATTCCTGACTTTCCTTAGTCGCCCAAGCTTCAATTTTGTGTTTTTGTTGCATTTAAGACGTAATTGTACACCAAGCACGACTTTGTCTATTCAACTTATTTTTTGCTAACTGTTATTTGGAAACAGTATGTTGACCTGAATTATCAGTTGTCAACATACTTTGCGGTATTTTCCGATTTATTTAAGTTTTTTTGTCTTGAACAAAGACAGAATTTACAATTTCAAGCGTTCAATATCGGTACCGAATTTCAAGAAGTACTCGAGAAAGGGCCAACATAGTCCACAGGAAAACAAAATCACAAAATCCACTTCTAATTTATTCACAAACATCGATCAATCAAAGTGGAATACTGCTTCCGAAACATTTTCTTCAACGGGGAAAATACCACTGCCGCTTTCATTTCCAGTTCCAAAGGTTACGCTTCTCTTAAATTGTACATGATGACTGTCTCAGTTGGGTTTAGAATTTTTTCTTTGCTTTTTTTGTAGAAGTAGCGATTCATTTTTATATGCAGTAGACTGTATGCGTTTAATAATGCTTTTAACTGAAACAATAGTTATACGGTTCAAATTATGTATTCAATCAATTTATGTGCTATTTCCATTTTACCAAATACTTTGTTTGAGTTAAAGAAATTTTATTGTGAGTTCATGCAAAAACTTTGATTTGAGATCAAATATTGTGATTGAAGTCTGAGAAGTAAATATTAATTTCAGTCACTTACCCATATCACGCAACTCTTTTTAGTCACTATAACTTTGGAGATATTCAGTGACTGCATAACTTTTTATGTAAAGTGCCTATTTTCGTTGCAGTCAATTTTAAAAGCTTCATCAAAACAGCATTTAACGATGTCGAATGCAAATCAACGATTAAGCGATGACCCTGATTTAACTTATGAATACTTACCAGGAGACTCCGTGAGAAATTCACGAAGTACGGAAACATTAAACAAATCGTTTATAACCAACTTTGTTGATACCAATTTATTCGATCAAATTAAGTATGTTACCAATATCTATTGTTTTTTCATGATTCATTTAACGCTTCTCTCATGTGAGATAATTTTTTTACTTGAAAAAAATTTTTTTAGATGAAATTGTAATTTCATTTCCAAAATTTTCATTTACTTCACCAATAGTTATTTATATTATTTCCACAGTGGACTAATATTAGTTGGGTGCAGTTGGCTACTGATTTACAAAGATTGGCATTAATGAGATGAAGTGTATGCCAATGGATTTTTACATAAGATGAACTACGAATTTTTCTCTCATTTCACAGTTTATTAATGGCCTTGCTTTTTAAAATTACATATAGCAGAAGAAGCATTTTTTCTTTGCAGAGGTGTTCCTAGCCAACGCACACATTCAGGAAGTTCAGTCAATGTCTATGATAAAGTGTACGAACATATCGCAGATGCGGCTAAATCACATGATCATGAACAGACGAACAGTTGTAAGAATATCGCGATTTCTACTGATAAAATTTGTTCCGGTGTGATTTTTATCATTCTAACTAATTACTAGAACTATCCATTAATCACTTAATTCAATTTCTGCAGATTTTTATATGAATCCTTTAAGAAGGTTGATCTATCTGTATGTGTTTAAGAGGACAAACAGGCCAGTGATGAAGATGTTGGAAGAAGTACACTTATCAACTATGTGGCCTCTTGTTCAAACGCTACAACCACTAAGTTTATTTCGCTATTTCTTTTTTCAATGGCAATTTGCAAAAAAAACGGTAGAAATTTTATCACAGTAACTTTAGCAATTTATTATTCATTTAGATTAACTTTCCCAAATTCGGTCCCTGGAACGATCATTGTACCAACGGATTGGTGTTCATCTACTGATACGCGTCACAGTCTCCCAATTCCATCAAATGATGTATTTGTTAGTTTTGAATTTTAAATTCATTATTTTTTTTTTTTGAAATGTTTCTTTTAGAGATTTTTTCATTGACATATGAGTTGATGCGCATTTTTCACATCTCAGATGGCTTCACGATGTGATGTCGAGAAAATAACGTTGCAACCGATCGCAGAAACATCTAATTTGCGAGATTTTCTACCAGACCAAAACACAAGCTTTCATTTTTCAAATGGACACTCATTGAATTATGTTCCGGATGATATTGCAATCAACACATTCGATCTTGGAACACATAGTGGAAAAGAAGGAGAAAGGTATTTAAACAGTCTAATTAAAATATTTTGAAATTTCAACATAGGTAATGAAACTAGCAGTAGAAAAAAAATAGAATTTAAGGATGTTCTAGGAAATTGTTGTAATGAAATTTGCATAAATATCCATACAGAAGTAATCGTATCAAATATTGCAAATCCATCAGAAATTTGGCTTTTCGACCAAAGAAAAATGAAAGCATTGAAGCTTTCGAACGCAATAATAATTTTTCTGAATACAGTTCACTAAATGTATGCATGCTGAACAAGGGAAAAATATCAGATTCAATAGCAAAAACTACCTTATCAGGAAACAATGACATACAGACGACATGCGACGTTATTTCCGCCTCTTATATGTTAGTGTCACTTATTAATTTAATTTCTTCAATCTTTTTAGTATGATGCCCTGTTGTTACCAGAATGTCATCGTACTTTAAAAACAGTTATAAGATTTACTGTTTTAAATTACTTGCTACTGCTTCCCGCCTCTCATTTTCATAATATATGTACATCATCTTCTACAGTTTAGTCTAAACTACTCGAGATATTTACTATCACTTATTTTTGCCAGGGCAAACAAAGATTCTCAACAAAGATTTTTTTCATACCATAAACACTTTGCTTTCTTTCATGATTTATTTGACAGAGTTTTTCTTGCTTGATGATGAGTGACATACATGTTTAGCATTTTTTGCTTTACTATACTTCATAGCAATGAATTTATGTCCTCATTTTTGTCCGCTAATGAGCATTTGTCATTTCGGAAATTATTCATACAAGAAATTTAACGGATTGCAAAATAGTGCATACTGTCGAAATACAATATTTTGATTGATTCATTAAATACATATCTTTTTTTTCATGCAAACGCCTTATTTAGCACTATTTTAGGTGTTTAGGAGATGAAATGGATCGTTCGGTGGGCTCATCAGATACATTTGATAATAACGCAACTGTAAAGAGCGGCCAGCAGCATGAAGCACAACTGTGTTTAAATTTGTTCATGAATGGTCGGGTGGCGCCATTGCGTGCTGAACGCAGTTCTGGTGATGGCTTAGCTGGAACAAAAAAGAGCAGTATCACCACCGTCTAGCAATTTATTGATAAATTGAATTGGTGCTATTATTCGGATGGATAAAATATGCCAAGTAATGCGTTTGAGATGTTGTCACTTTTCTGCATCGACTTCTTCAGAACTCTTCATTTATTTCGGAAAGCACATGCAGATCTTTTTCATTTGGAAATTCTTGTTTTGATGTATTACTTCCGTTGTGTTTCTGTTGTTGATAGCGATAGTTGTTTCAGTGAATATTTTCAATATTATTTGCTGTTCAATTACTAGTAATATTGTTTTGTTGCATGAAAAAAATAAATAAAATGCATTTTAAGAGCTTCTCCCATGTTCTGCATAGTAATTTGCTTGTGGAAATGTAGTTCACAAGAGTGACAATTTGATGGACTCAATGTAAACTTGGAAGGTTGGGGGGAACTCACATCAACTGGATGAGGAGCTGACTGAAGCTAGAATTGATTGCTACAAGTAGAAAATTGCGAGATTTAGGAATGAATTCCAAGAAATTTTGAGCTGTTTTCATGGCAAAGCGGAATAAATGGAAGAAACAGAATGGCAACGCATCAGTGTCGCTATGGCGACACTGATGCTGATAGGAAGTTGGGAAAGTGTTAGATAGGATGATATCGAAGTAAATGGCTGAGGTGCATATTATCGGAGAGATTGAAAGTGCGTCTGGATTCCCCGAACAACGCCTTTTTTGTCGTTGGGAACTTAGATTTGGTAAGTTGCTATTCACTGTTCATGAAAATTCGTGAACAGTTTTAAATATTTTTACCGAAGAAAGATATGAATAGTGTTCTCTCCAAAAATTTTTTTAGCTTTGAAATTTCAATGTTCTTTTGATTTTTGCTATTTCGCTATTTCATCAAGCAGACCACACATAGCTAGGTGCACTGTAATGCTCGAAATGGTGCTTAAGGTGGCGGATGGCGTGTAATAGAAGGCGTGAGCAAAGGACAAACTCAGACCGACTTAGCTGAATACCGAGATTTCGCATCCTTTTCACATCCATTGGATATACATCTTGTCACTAAAACCATACAAGGTCAGCTCGACTTCACCATAAAAGAACTATTTTGAAGTTCAAATGCCCTTTATACTTGAGTTCTTATGTTTTCTCCAACTTATCTGACCTAAGCTAAGCTAAGCTATAGTTGCATTTCTTTACAACCTAGAAATGTGATTGGTCGTAGTCGGAAAATCTCAAAATAGCGGTTATGCAAGTAAAGAAAAAGTTTACGCAAAATGTTGTCTACCTTTAGGATGGCCTTCAATTAGTCTACAAATTTGGCACTACGACGAATTTGGTCGCCAGGAACTGTATGGTTACGGGTCTATATATTTACCAGCTTCTCCTGGTGAACATCAAGTACTTCTTTCTTGAGTGTTATTTGTACTAGTTGGTTAAGCCATTTGTAAACACTATAAAAATCAGTTTACAGTCAATTAATGATTTCTTAATTTGATTTCTTCATTAAGTATAGATGAAGTGCTATACGTGGAGGCCGAAAGGTGGTTTACGTGAAGAAATGATGCAATACTTTATTGGAGGTGGTTTACAGCTTAGCAATGAAACTTCGACACGACTCGATGAACATTCAAGATTACATACTGTATCCATGGGTGTCGTTAGATTGCACATTTCAGTGATAACCAAGAATTTTGATCGTTTCGGAATTCAGTGTTGATAAGTTAGTCTCTGCTTAATCATTCTTCGCCGTTTCGTAAATGTGAATGCCATGTCATATGTTAATAAGAACGTTTTGTTAATGGGAGCATTTATCATTGACGTAATCCCTCCATTTAGAACTCATTCATTGTTTCCATATCCAACCTGTACTATTTCTTGAACGCCTTTCTCTCGTTTTGCTAATATATTACTCAGAAATGCGCAATGATTATTTCTTGCCACTGACCACATTTTGATCATATTTTGCTATGCTGTCATAATGATGTCATTGATAGCTTATGTAATGAACAGTCATCAGAGGCATACGCCGATTCTTCCTCCTCCTTCCATTTCTCTTCCAACCTAGAGTTTATTCCTCGCATTTCGCCAACGTTTCTATCCTACGTCTTTTTCTTTTGAGGTACTTACCTCAAATTTCTGGCTTTTTTCGTTAGTAAGTTCTTGCCTCATTGTTGAATACATTATATCAACTAGCTGATGGCGTACAAAGAGAACAATAAAGTTTTTGTAGATGATACTACTCTGTGTTATTAGGCTTTTCTTAGATCATCAGCTAAATCGTGCATCGTATGCGCACATCCAGTAGATTTTGTCAGCTATACTCCCGAAAAGTAAATAATCTTCACGACTGTTTTACATCACTGCAGGACTTCTAGGTAGGTAGAGAAGTAGGATCTAAAAAGTATGCTAAGAGAAAAAAAATTTTGTGGTTTATTTGAAGGTGTAAGATGAACAATGATAAGGACACAATAATCAAAACTGTTAGGATCATTTAACTATCCAACTTGAACATTTCTTGCAGATAATGAAATATAAGTGTATATGAATCTCTTGCAAAGGACTTAAAATTTACTTCAATTTATTTCATTATTCATTCTGTTCACTTGCTAGTTAGATCATTCATTGAAAAGTGCATCCAAATAACACCGTCATCTCCTGCAAAAATCAAAGACTATGTAAAAAAAATAGTTAACGCAAGTAGGAAAAGCAAGTTTTGAAACAGTGAAAAGGAGAGCTCATCGTAAAGCGGTCAATGATAATGAATAATTTAAAAGAGCAAAAAAGGAGCTGTCATGCAACACTCTAATGAGCGTTCCGGAGCACTTGTTAATCACGTCCAAAACATATTTTTTTAAATGTCATTTTAAATCGAATCACATTTTGCCTTTCACAAATGGAGTGTCACAGTCATACACAATATTTTTCCAATGACGGATTCACAGCACCTCCGCCGATGTTACGATTTTTTTACTACGATTATCACTGCATGCCTGATTTCGTGTCCGAAATACAATCGTAGTTTCTGAAATTGAAAGAGTTGCTAGCCGAAGATAAACTTCAAATCTATACCACATTTATTTTGAAGACATATTTCTATGCATTTGTTGAAGTGTAACACACATTATATTATTTCTGTTACTTCGTTCTCCTTGAAGTACAATCAATGCTTTTTGAGATTACTTTTTTTTTTCTCTTTTCTGCGAGTGGAAACCAAATGTAAAGTACACAAAATGTACAGTTTGCCATTTGTATAACAATTATTCCATGTCTTCATCATTGTATTCATCTATACTTTACTTTACTCTGGATTATTCATCAGGAAGAGCTGTATTTTCTCTTACTCTATCTTTACTCCCTTCATTCCTCGACCACATAACATGATTGACCGAAGATGTCAGGTGTTAAAAAAAAATGTGTAGGTTGTGAAGAGGTAGCAAATTCCAATTAAATTGTGTTAATTGGACCATTTCACATTTGAAAACTGTAGATTTTGAAGTGGTAGCTTCTAATTGTATTCAAATTAGGAAGTTCTGCACAATATCATCCACTTTATTCCATTCTTTCCGGATATTTTTCCAATCATTTATTCATTATAATTGTTTAATGTTTAATGTGCAAATTTAATCAGAATTAATTTAATCAGACCATCTTTAATCCGAACTACCGAATGGTAAATTAAATAGAATAGATGAGAGAATTAGAGAAAAGAGTGCATCGTTGGGTGGCAGGAAACAGAGTGTGTAGTAATCTCTTTCAGTAATCTCTTTTTTTGAAAGGTTATGGTCCATGTGCACAACTTCCATTTGGCTTAACCAAATGATGTGAACTTTAAGGATATTGACGCTGCTCTCTAGTCTTTACTCCTTAGATAAATTTCACTTTTAAATTGAATGAATAGCAATACTTTTAAGCCTTTTAAGAATTGATGGAAAATAGAATCGAAGCAGTGAAATTAGTGAAGATCGAAAACTTTCCGAGATAGAAGTTGGTAACGTTCATAATTATTTGACTTCATTGTTTGTTTTTGTTGTTCAAGAAAGGATTTGTATTGTTAGAAAATCGATATAAGTAGGAATAATTTTCAGGTGACAGAAATCTTCATGTATAGAATGATAATAAAGATTTATTGGTTGTTGCTGATAAGTTTATCTTTACCAGCGGTATTAACGAATGTTATTTGGTTGAATATGGATAATCATGATGGTATCATCAAAAGTGCTCAGGTATAGAAATCTGCAATTTATTTAGAATATTTGCAAATTTTCTCAACAAAACTAGTAATATTATAGATCTAAGATGTCATTTTAATCGTTTAAAAGATGCAAAACTAATTATTTAGCAAGAAAAAAATGAGCAATATGTTAAACAACCGATTTTGTTTGTAAATGTAATTTCGTTATCGAAAAAACAAACAGTTTTTACATCGAATTTCTGATAACTCTATGTTAGATATATTATTAAATATAGTAGGAATAATTTGCATTTTTTGTGCATCTTATTATAGCTATCTGAAATGAATTCGAAAAGGAAGGTATTTAGAAAATATTCTTGACCTGTGAAAAATCCGACTGTTGCTTTCAACCACTTTGGGACAATGAATTTGAGCTCATGAAATGACTTACGTATTCTCTTTAATTTAACGCTGCTCCCGTAGACTAAGTTCCGGGACTTTATTGCTTAGAACAATCATTGACTATGCTTGAAAATCTTATTACTTCTCATCTTAGTTCTTATACGGTTATTTTATGGAAAATTACTGTAATATATTACAAATGATGACATTCTTCACTAAGGGGACTCAGGATGTAAAAGATTCTATACATGGAATAAAATCATATGAAAATATGAGTGATTCAGACTTGTTGTTACCAGACCACACTTATGTTTAAGTAATACAATCACTGTTAATAGTAATATGTTATGACATTGTTTTAGGTTGTGTTTGTCGCGTTTTGTGCTGATTGGTGCCCATTTAGTCGTCAGCTTAAACCAATTTTTGAGGAAGCTGCTGCAGTATTTGCACAAGAAAATCCTACGGCAAATGTAATTTGGGCTCTTGTGGATAGCGTTGAACAAGTAAAGTTTTGCCGAGTAAAGCTAACTGATATATTTCTATGGTAGGAATGCTCACTTTTTTGTTGATTTCAAGCTGTTTGCAGGTAAAAATTGCTGATAAATACTCTGTCCGTAAATATCCAACGATGAAGGTCTTTATCAATGGAGAATTAGCGAACAAAGAGTACAGGTATTTTCATTTTATTATTTATACTTCTTATGTTGCGGACAGAAGTTCTTCGAAACTGTTTGATTTCAAAACATAAAAAATTCATTCTACTTAATTGCTAGATCTACGCGTTCAGTTGAAGCACTCACAGCGTTTGTTAAACAACAGTTGTCATCCAGCATACAAGATTTTGCCGGTAAAAAAGACCTGGAGCAGCAAATGGACAAATCTGAGAGAAATGTGATTGCTTATTTTGCGGACAAAAATAGCGATGAGTATCGAAGTTTCCAGGTTGCGTTTTTTGCCACCTATAGCATTTCTCACATCAATTTTTAAGCAGTTTTTTGGACTGTATTTTGAATTTCTAGAAAGTTGCTACTATTTTACGCGAAGATTGTGCATTTTGGGTTAGCATTGATGAAGACTTGAAAGCTGTGAGTGGGAGTACGATGCATTTCCGAGATCCAGACACCGAAGATGAACAGAAGGTTGATAATCTTGAAGTATCATTTTGATGAAATTGTAATAATCTCTCTCGGTTCTGTTTGGTGGTAAGCGGCAGAAATCTTTAATTATTGAAATAGGTTGAATTTATAAAGTTGCTTAAATATATTTTAAATTCAGAAGTTCTGTGGACATTTTAGATTTTATGATCTGAAAGTTTGTTACAGTTCACGGGCAATTTTACGGACTACAACTATGTAAAGCAGTGGCTTACAGATAAATGCATACCGTTGGTACGGGAAGTCACATTTGAAAATGTTGAAGAGCTGACGGAAGAAGGTCTACCATTCTTGCTTTTCTTTAGAAATCCTGGAGACAAAGAAGGCGACAAAAAGTTCACTGAATTGGTAAATTTATCTCATTACACTATTCTTTAGTAAATGGAGAAGTTTTGGGTTCTTAGAATGTCACATGTTTGTATAAATACTAATTTATAATCTGGATCCATCGCCTTTTTTGAACCAGCTCTCTCCGTGATGTATTTAAAGTTGTTCATTAAACATTTTTCATTTGCAGGTGGTTCGTGAACTTTATGATCAGAAAAATGCAGTCAATGCTTTATTGGCAGACGGTCATAAATTTGCACATCCGTTAAAACATTTAGGTAAAACTGAAGATGATTTACCGGTTTTAGCTATTGATTCATTTCAACATATGTTTTTGTTTGACAATATGAATGAACTGTATATTCCTGGAAAGCTTCGACAGGTATATTTCTTTTACATCTGTTAAAATTATGGGATATTTTGCTTGCTATTCTAGTTGAGCAGTACTTTGGTTGAAATCGTAGCGAATACTTCCTGTCTCGCAATCACCAGTTGTTTTTAATCTCTCGTTTTTATAGTTTCTTAATTAATTTTACATGTATCTAACATGCATTTTCTTACTTTGTACTGAACCAATGCATTGTATTTCGAATTGAACTAGAAGCTTCTATTTCAGTTTATTCTCGACCTACATTCTGGAAAATTACACAAAGAGTTTCATGAAAAAATGGATCAGGAAATGATAGATTTGCAGAAGCTGGCTTTGAAAAAACTTGAAACGTTCTCTGAAGATGACGTAAAATCATCGGCTGCAGCGTCATTTGCAACACCTCCTCCTTCTGTTTTCAAGGAGCTGAAACCTTCAGAAAAACGCTATTCTTTATTAAGGAAAACTGAATTGTAGTTCATATATTTTATTTTAATGTTACCACTGCTACCTTTAAAGATTAGGGGAAGTGATGATTTCGTGGGAGCTCTTTCCATCTGTTCCCTTCGTTATTCGTTATTCGATTAACAGTTTTAGGGTGTTTTTAAAGTGCCTTTTGAAATAGTTTAATTGTCTCACCGGTTCAAATATTATTATACATCATATGTTTTTTTAAATTCAGCTCCAATTACTTCCACGAGAATTTCACTTGTTTGAGAAGTGAATCTTCCATAAATTTTTGGCTCATTGATTTCTTATATAGAAGTAACGAAAAATAACGTGATTTATGTACGAATCGTTTTTGTAGATGTTTGGATTTCTGCTTTCTCCTTGCTCTTGTCTTTCTGTACCTGTTCCTTATAAATTAAAATATTTTATACCGAAATGAACAGCACTACTGTTATATTTGTTGTCTGCATAGATCGTCAGATATTTTAGATCAGAATTTTTATATTTCACTGCTCATATCTTTTTTTGGTACCTAAGGTTAAGTAAGGCATTTTAATTTATTCAATTCCAGTAGAATTATTCTCCCTCATTTCTCCTTTCTTCTCTCGTGAGCTTTGCACATATTTCCTCAAAATCTTTGGACTAGGTATTCCTGCACCATTTGATATTATTGTCTTTATTATTATCACTCACTATTATTGTTATTATTATAGCGATTGTTTATTTATTTATTTATTTGTTTTATTTATTTATTTGTTTTA